TGCTGAATTTCAAATTTATATTTTGTTTTTCCTGACACGTTTCCCCGCGAAGTGTCACACATGTTTCTCGCATTGAGTGCTAACTTCCGGTGTAAACAAACAACACCCCAGATGATTTTTATGCCCTGTTTTGCGTGTATATCATCTACTTACTACTGCTCCATTTGTACGCGAATCATACTGTGCCTTAGGGTCGCACGAAGGCAGAAGGTTTAACACTACATCTGTACATAACATCAAGTCTTGTTACACGTCATGGCCCGAGGCACTACACCGTGAGAAGCACTACAATGCTTGTAACACTCAAATTTTTCGGCTCTTTTGTGGTGTTTGCCACCATCGTAAGTCTACAAAATTATAAATCTCCTGTTTATGGAACCTCACAATACGAAAAACATGTGTGCTTATCCATGCCTACAAACGGGGACTGTGTTTATAATGCCCAAAAAGCAGAGGCACACCTAGAGCTCGTGTCAAAATCATACCATCATGCAGAAACAAAAGCAGATTATCTAAATGTCTTTCATCCCTCAAATGTTGTAAGAAATATCACCCTGCATGACCCACAGCCCTATGACTCCTGTTATGAACATATGTTGTACAAGTTGTTCAAACCATCCAAATTATCTTCTAAACTCAAAGCAACCAAAACTCTGTATTGCCTACTTGCTCTCGTCCTTTTGCAAGCAAATGATATTGATCGAGTTAAATCCTGGACCAGGTAACAACAAAGTAAACCCCTAAGGATTCTAAATATATTTTCAATCTATTCGAAATAAGCTAACACTTCCTCGGCAACATACTAGATAGCTCCATGCCAGACATTGTAATTGGCACCGAGACCTGGCTCAACCTAAATATTTAAAATGCCGAAATATTTCCTTTGGGTTACACAATTTTCCGAAACGACCGTAAAAAGTGTGACACCTGCAAAGATGGTGGAGGTGTACTCATTGCGATAAAGGAAGACCTTATTAATGATGAGGTACACAACCTCACGCTCAATAATTCATGCGAAATGGTATGGGCTAAGGTTAAGGCAGTCGGGAGTAGAACTCTTTACATCAGTTCTTTCTACCACCCAAAAACGTCTGACGAAGAGAGCATGCAATCTGTTATAGATTCAATAAATGAGGCCTCAAAAATAAAAAAGACAGTCCTTATAATAGACGGAGACTTCAACCTTCCCGGATGGGACTGGAAGAACAAAGTTTTGAAACCCAAAACAAGTCATACCATAATCCATTATGACTTTTCAAACCTTCTGGACGACACTGGTCCAAGTTGTCGAAGAACCGACCCGAAATGACAATATCTTAGATTTGGTCATAACAAATTCTCCAAAACAAGTGGCCCGTACTGAAATCATTCCAGGCCTATCTGCCCATAACATGGTTAATATTGAATTTAAACTTACACCAATAAAACAAAAATCAGGAACAATCCCTGTGTTTAAAAATGCTGAGTGGAATGGCATTAAATCTCATCTGGGCAATGTGCATAATTATATGTTAACAAAAAACGAGTGGGACGCAAATTCAATGTGGGAATATTTTAAAACTGAACTCGTAAAACTTGTCAAAGAACACATCCCTCAGAAAACTATAAAACCAAAAAACTAGCCTACCATGGGTACCCCCGAAATAAAATAAAAAAGCTCATCAGAAAACTTGATAGGCTATATACATAAAATCTAAAAAAAATCTGGGGATTCTTCATTAAAATCAAAATTTAAAGAAATAAAACATCTAGTCCCAATGGAACTCCGCACATCTTACTGGGATCATATTGAAGATATAATAAATCCCAATAGTCCAAATACTAATAACAAATACTCTGGCATGAAACGGTTCTGGTCTTACATTAAAGCCAAACGATCCGATCACTGCGGCATTTCCCCACTAAAGCAAGAGGGCAAAGTAATACATAATCCTGTTGGCTAAGCGCAAGAGCTCAACACACAGTTTCAATCTGTTTTTACTCTACCTGAAACCCTCAATGATCGCCAGTTTACTTTCAGATGTAACATGCCTCTTGACCATCAATTTCCAACCATGCCTGATATTGAGATCCATGAAAATGGTATATTAAAACTTCTCAAAGGTTTAAATCCGCATAAGGCTGCAGGACCCGATGACATAAAATCAAAGGTACTGAAAGAACTTGCTAACGAAGTAGCCCCCATTCTATCACTAATTTTTAGCAAGTCCTTGGTTACAGGTCTAGTTCAAGATTCAAGATATTTTATTAAGTATTTCAAGGCCAACTAGCCCATAGTACAATTTGCACAGTACATAATAACCATATTCACACAATTTTTACATCAAAAACAATTTCTGAAGATTACCTTATAACGTACAATTTACTAGTATATAGCACTGACTTCCGATTTAATAATACTAAATTTGTGATGTCATAGATATAATATAATTTGATCTTGCTTCAAAAGATGAATATACAAATTTAGCATCATTTCTTAATTTATCTTCATTTTCAGTCATTAACATATATTTTGCTTCAACATATTTTTCCAATGCACACATTTGTCTTATATGTTCATATAATGGACAGTGTAATAAAAAATGATATTCATCTTCAACGAGTCTTGTATTGTTTGTATATAGACAGCAATTACATAATCTTTCTTCCCTTGGAATTTTTAGTTCACGACCTTTTTCAATAAATAATTCATGACTGGACACGCAGTCTGGTTTCAGGTCTAGTCCCCATTGATTGGAAATTGGCAAATATATCCCCCATTCATAAAAAAGGACAGAAATTTAAATCGGAAATTATAGACCAATTTCACCGACATGTATTTTCAGTAAACTAAAAGAGCACGTCGTCGTTTCTAACATCATGATGCATGCTGAAACATGGCTTTCGCAAATTTCGATCGTGCGAAAGTCAGTTGATCAAATTCATAGATGACACATCTAAAATCCTTGACGAAGGATGCCAAACTGATATTCTCATTATGGACTTTGCCAAGGCCTTCGACAAAGTCAGCCATTCCCTTCTCATCCACAAACTCAAGAACTATGGTGTAAAAGGAAAGGTAGTAAACTTGATTGGGAATTTCCTTCTTGGCAGAAAACAATCTGTAGTTGTGGAGGGGTAAATGACTGACTTCGTTAACGTCCATTCTGGTGTGCCCCAGGGATCGGTCCTCGGACCAAGTTTATTTATTTATTTCATTAACTACATCCCTGTGGGCCTAAACGCTACCATCCGCTTGTTCGCAGACGACACTATCGCTTATCTAGTTGTCAAGTCTAACAGTGATGCTGAAACTCTACAGCAAGACTTGGGCAAACTGGCGCTCTGGGAAAAGACATGGAAGATGGCCTTCCACCCGGGCAAGTGTAATGTGTTGTCTGTGAACAAGGGGGGAAACCCCTGTAACAGAAGAAAGAATAGTGTGCTTCCACCGGGGATCGAACCCTCGATCTCGTGGTTCCTAGTTGGACGCTCTATACCACTGAGCTAAAGGGCAATTCCCTCTAGCTCGAAGCTAGAAGGCGACCGTAATCCTATGTACAATTGAACCCTGCCACACCCCATTATCCATAATTACATCCTCCATCGGCATACGCTAGAACACATAGACCAAGCAAAATACCTGGGTGTTACAATTCAATCTAACTTAAATGGGACTCCCACATAAATAATATTATCAACAAAGAAAATTCCACACTTGGCGTCTTCCGTCGAAATTTAAAAATAAGTTCAACATCAGTTAAGGCACAGGCATACAAATCATTAGTTCGTCCATCTCTAGAGTATGCCTGTCCTGTTTGGGACCCATAAACCCAGGATAACATCAATAAGATTCAAATGGTACAATGCAGGGCTGCTCGTTACGTACTAAACACAAACGTCTACACTCATAGAACATCCAGTGTCTACGATACGTTGAACCATCTTTCTTAAATGGCGATCCCTTGCCGACAGACGCAGAGACACAAGCCTATGTATGATGTTCAAAATTGTAAACAATCAGGTAGTTATTAGTAAACACACTAGACTAATATATACCAGCAACCAGGCAATCAAGGCATGTTCATCACCAATCCTTCCAAATACCACACTGCAGAACCCAGGTCAGAAAACAATCCTTCTTTCCACGATCAATATTGGGTGGAATAAGATCCCACCAGATAGCATATCCTCCTGTTCTACTACTGATTTTTTTTAAATCTGCTCTCCTGTCACTGTACCCTCAAAATTAAATAAATATCATTTTGGCCTCCTGGGAATCGACTAAATCTCTTTCTCTCTCGTGACATTATCTTCAACTTGTTGAAGTTGGTCATTACCATTTAGAACTTCAAATAAACCAGGTAATATTGCAATACTGTTTATACATTTATATATTTATTTATTCATTTGTTCTTTTTGCTTGATTAATAAAATTGTGGAATTTGTAAAATATTGTACAGGTTAACAGATATGTCGATTGCCATTTAATTGAGTTCCTTGATATATATATATATATATATGTCTCTATGCTACGATCGTTCAGAGACGTGTATACTTTGGCTTCACACGTCTCTGGATCGATTGGCCTTCCGAATTAACACGAACATATGCACCTCAGGAAATATCGTCATTTGTAAATTGCTTTACATAATTCACATATATAGATATCATTAACATATTTTATCATTGAATTTAAGTTCTATGAGTGGACACTACGTGTAAGGCATCCATTTTCTTTGTTTAACTGCATGTGGTATCAATGGCATATCATTAGAGAAATTGAGATATACTGCCTTGGGGAATATCACTTAAGCAAAAATTTCACCTTTCATTGTTCTCTGATTGTGTTGTGCGATAATAATAAGTTCACTGTCCAGTATACAAGGTTCGTGTTCGGACAGAGATGGAAACGTTGTAGACCGGGTAGTTTTTCAATTAAGATATTATTCAGACATTTAAAGGACCAAACGATCCACGTACCTGTTGACGGCGACTACAAAGTATTAAAGTGAATTACCCCCGATTCGCCTCAATTACTCGCGTCGTATACTACTAGAGGGCGCTACCCGGACAATCATTTGTAGCGAGAGGAAGGCGTGAACGACCACAGCGATCACGAAGTATTTTAGTACCTGTCTACAGTACAGCAACGACCATCAGAAGCTACAATCATGGCTGTAAGTACTTAAACAGAACTTTGTACCTAAATGATAAAAAATAACATAAACTGAGCTTGTTGCATTTATAAAAGTCACAGGCCGCCGGCTCACGCGTGATGGACTCCTAACCTGACGAATCGTTCGTTGATCCGATGATTTATTTATCACCAGGTTGGCCTATGCATAGTTTGGTTGATTTGTAATGAAATGAACCAAGAAGAAAAGTTGAAGCCACGTATTCATATAGCTAATACAGTATTCAGAATACAGTTTCCCGATTTCAACCCACACCGTATCTCTGTAGGAATCAGGATTTGAATAAGAGACTGTAAGCTTAAATTAAATGTTAATTTTATTTATTATTTAATTATGTGATTTGTTTGTAGGGACTAGCTACGCTAGTAAATTGAAATTATACAGATAAAAGGCGTTTTTTTTATTTAACGATATTTTCTCATCGAATCATTAGACTTGCACTAGTCATTTTATTGACTGGCCGTGCATTTCTCTTACAAAATTTGGCATCTCCAAAAGCTAAAAAGCTTACAACGATGTATATTACAGCAAAAGATGTTTCAACCACTGGGTGAATGCTAAGTTGGCAAGGGGATGCCTGAACCAGCTAGGGTTGTAAATAGTTGTCTTTGGGGGCAAAGACTTAGATAGCCATCTTTCTTCTGGCCCTAACAACAGATGTATTAGACATTTTACAGGTAGATGCCTGACCAGAATTCTATCTGTCAAAAGGTCTAAAGTCTGGTGTTAGGACCAGAGGAAACTGGAAACAGGAAAAGAAGGGAAGATATTGTAGCAGAACTCGGAGCTTGGTTGATTGTCAGCAAAGAATGATAGCTATAGCTCAATTGGTAGAGCATCCATCTTGAGTTCGGAGGGTCCAGAGTTGGAACCCCAGTCTGGCCGTGCATATCACTTTCTCCTTTTACAATTAGGCAGGCCTAAATAAAAAGGTATATCAGTCAGTAGCACTGATCAAGTGGTTCTAAGCATTTCTCAGTATTGCTCATATATATATATATATAGAGAGATACAAAACATAATACACAGTGTTGTATAAGCGAAAACATGTCCTACTTGTATCAAATAAGAATCATGAGTAACATAAGATGATAAACTGTTTAGTAAGTTTTTATAATGCTAATGCTATTTTTTTTGAAATTTTCCCAATACCAACCATTAAAATTTCTAGTTTCTAACATTTTTGAGAGTTCTAAAAATATAAATGCAAAAGTTGAAATGAAGTTCTCATGATTTACTAAGTTCCTAGTGTTGAGTCATGTTAGGGGGCTTGAGTTCTGAATTTTGAGTCATATTTTTTGAATTATTTTCTATGGATGAAAAATTCACTGTCATTTGCATAAATATATATATATATATGACAAAAACTTAGAAGGGAATATACGTTCATATAGGTTTTTTTTATAGAAAAGTAAAGCATACTTGCAAACTTTTTGAAATTTCCATTGGGCATATTTCAAGTGTTTGGAATTAAATGTATAAATAAAATGTGTGTATGTACATTCTTGGGGAAATATACACTTTTTAATGGTACTTTTTTAGCTGTTCTTTCAGATGAAATCATGAATTATCAAATCTTAGAAAATTGGAATTATTTATCAAGATATTTGCAAGTTACTTGACTCCGCTTGTTTCAGTCTACTCAGATGTAAAGGAGAATGTGGTTCACCGCTGGGCAGTGCTAGAATTGTAGAATGCTAGCTGTGAGCGCCGAAATGGCAGCACCGGCTGTATGCTCTCCAGGAAGTTGAGAAAGATATTGGCTGGTTGCAAAGGCCCTATAACCACTAATAATAATTTGTGATCCGCTTTGAGACGACCTACGAACTAGGTTGTGATAAAGCAGTATATAAGAACCTCAAATTATTATTATCAAGTTCTCAGTTGAAAATGCCAAATTTTAGGGTCCAAATTCCGTAGTCTCCCTCCAAAATAGGGAGAGTTGGCAAGTATGTGGTAGTTTGAACTACTGACTCACTATGTGCTACATATTGACCCCCGTGCCTGTTTAACACAGCCTTGAACCAGGTAGCAATTGTGTACCCTCGGTGATCAGACAAGTGGTGTCTGAGTCACGACGATCAGACACTTGTCCTCATGTAATCTCTTGGATATATATATACTCGAAAAAGAATTTTGATACTTTCTATGCTTCAAATATGGAAACGTTGCTGAAAATCAGTGAAAACCGATATTTGATCAATAAATCTTTAAAATTAATGTGTTTCATTATTTTCTTATTAATCTGATTGAATAAGAATAATAATCCCCAAATATTTGAATTTCCCCATGCCTTATCAAGTCGCCACTGTTACATTAGGTATAACTTCACTGTTAATACCCTAAGTGTATAAGATCTATTCTGGGAATATTCAGTAATGATTTTGCCAGGAAATTCACATGATTGTGAGCCTGAATGACTAACAGTCTGCTGATGAATTGGTCATTATCCAAGATTTTGTCCTATTTCACTGGGGTAAAAATAGGTTACAAAGGCCAAGTGTATTACACATTAAAAAGTCTGCACTCAGAAACAGACTAAACATTCACGACTGTAAGTTCTCTTTTTGACTGCTACAAGGCATGAAGTTTTTGGTGTATTATAAATAGTATTCTTTGATTATACGTTTTCACATACTTTTACTTCCTAATTTAACAAAACAAAATTACGAAGTAAGATAAGTCACACAAACATTACCCCCGCCCCCCAATACACAAACATCATGATACCCTCAACCCAACCCCATCATGTACCCCTTGTCATGGCCTTGACCTTTCCTATTCCCATTTATTTTACTGAAAAAGTTCTATAAGACTGTTACTCACTCATTAAGTCAAACGTTTTTGAGAATATCTGAAACTGATGATTTTTCTTATGGTTTGGACAATAGTAACAACACTATGAACTTTGACCTCTTAATTGCCTTGGTCTTTTTTAACTCATCCACCCCTGAAATTTCATAATGAACTATTCCAACCTTTGAATTGGAAGAGTTCAAATGTGTCTTCAGGGGTGAATGAGTTAATATGGACTTGAATGTGTTTTCCAATACTCTGATTATGTTCCAACAAGAGAACTAAGAAATCTCCCAAAGATATTCCCTCTACTTACACTTGTTTCTGAAGTAGAAATTAAAGTTTCAAGGGCCATAACTCCAAGGAAATAGTTAAATTATGAATTCCTTCCATCCTCCATATCAACAGAATTGTTGTTTCCCTGTGCCAAGTTACAAAAACTTATAATGTTTTATGAGCAGAGATTTCAAGTTTCAAGGGATATAACTCCAGGAAATTTCATTGAATCTTCAATCCCTTTCCTCATGCACATCTACCAGTAGATATGGTGTACTTTCACTCTGTCAAGTTATGAAAAAATCAAAACCAATAGTTCAGGAGGAGTCTGGATCACAAGGATCACGAGAAGACGGATGCATACAGGGCGATTCCTATATACACCTCCAAAACTTTGTTTTCAGTGTGGAAACCTATAGAACTAGACTGTTGACCACTGGCATGGGTTATTCCAAATGATCTCTCTTGTTAATTGCACTATAACTGCGGCTGTTCCAAGAATTTGACCAGTGAGGTTTTGCGGCAGCAAGATATATAATGTCATTACATGTACACCGGACATCATTCTATTTATCTGTCACCCAGCTGGTTGCATTCATATTGCCTATAACTGCAATCTGACAGACGCTCAATCCTTAAGTGATTAAAGGCTCTCAGCAGTTTCCACAGCACTCTATTGTCTGCAGAAACAAGGGTTATGTCAATATATCAACATAGCTATTTGTGCTTGAAAACAATTAAATTCTTTCTGAAAGAATGGACAGTTGTAATGAAGTTAACCAAGAAGACAAGTGGAAGCCACATATTTAGATAGCTAATACAGTATTCATAATATAGTTTCCGGATTTCAACCCACACCGTAGGAATCAGAATTTGAATTAGAGACTGTAAATTTTATTTATAATTTAATTATGTGATTTGTTTGTATAGACTAGCTACTCTAGTAAGTGGAAAGTATACAGATAATAAGGTGTTTTTTATTTTATTATTTAACAATATTTTCTCATCGATTCATTAGACTTGCACTAGTCATGGTATTGACTGGCTGTGCATTTCTCTTTCTCCTGTTACAAAATTTGGAAAGCTTGCTGACCATTGTTTCAACCACTGGGTGAATGCTAAGTTGGCAAGGGGCTACCTGAACCAGCTAGGGTTGTAAATAGTTGTCTTTGGGGGCAAAGACTTAGATAGCCATCTTTCTTCTGACCCTAACAACAGATGTATTAGACATTTTGACAGATAGATGTCTGACCAGAATTTTATCTGTCAAAAGGTCTTAAGTCTGGTGTTAGGGCCAGAGGAAACTGGAAACAGGAAAAGGAGGGAAGATATTGTAGCAGAACTCAGGGCTTGGTTGATTGTCGGCGAAGAATGGTACCTATAGCTCAATTGGTCGAGCATCCATCTTGAGTTCGGAGGGTCCAGAGTTGGAACCCCAGTCTGGCCGTGCATATCACTTTCTCCTTTTACAATTAGGCAGGCCTAAATAAAAAGGTATATCAGTCAGTAGCTCTGATCAAGTGGTTCTAAGCATTTCTCAGTATTGCTCATATATATATATATATAGATAGATACAAAACATAATACACAGTGTTGTATAAGCGAAAACATATCCCACTTGTATCGAAGATGAATCATCAGTAACATAAGATGATTAACTGTTTAGTAGGTTTATTAATGCTAATAATTGCAGGGGTTAATTATTGGGGTATTTTTAAGAACTCATTTGCTATTGAAATTTTTTGAAATTTTTCCAATGCCCACCAATAAAATTTCCAGTTGAGAGTTCTGAAAAATAAATACAAAAGTTGAACTGAAGTTCTCATGATTTACTAAGTTCCTAGTGTTGAGTCATGTTTGGGGGCTTGAGTTCTCAATTCTGAGTCATATTTTTTGAATTATTTTCTATGGATGAATAATTCACTGTCATTTGCATAAATATATATATGGCAAAAACTTAGAAGGGCATATACGTTCATAAAGTTTTGTTTGATAGAAAAGTAAAGCATACTTGCAAACTTTTTGAAATTTCCATTGGGCATATTTCAAGTGTTTGGAATTAAATGTATAAATAAAATGTGTGTATGTACATTCTTGGGGAAATAAACACTTTTTAATGGTACCTTTTTAATTAGCTGTTCTTTCAGATGAAATCATGAATTATCAAATCTTAGAAAATTGGAATTAATTATCAAGATATTTGCAAGATACTTTACTCCGCTTGTTTCAGTCTACTCAGCTGTAAATGAGTACATGGTTGGGCAACTTGCTGGAATTGTAGAATGCTAGCTGTGAGCGCCGAAATGGCAGCACCGGCTGTATGCTCTCCAGGAAGTAGAGAAAGATATTAGCTGGTTGCAAAGGCCCTATAACCACGAATAATAATTTGTGAACCACTTAGAGATGACCTATGAACTAGGTTGTGATAACGCGGTATATAAGAACCTCAAATTATTATTATTAAATTCTCAGTTGAAAATGTCCAATTTTAGGGTCCAAATTCCGTAGTCTCCCTCCAAAATTGGGAGAGTTGGCAAATATGTGGTAGTTTGAACTACTGACTCACTGTATGTGCTACATATTGACCCCAGGGCCTGTTTAACACAGCCTTGAACCAGGTAGCAATTGTGTACCCTCGGTGATCAGACAAGTGGTGACAGGGTCACAACGATCAGACACTTGTCATCATGTTATCCAAATAGAGGTACCGATATCGCTTGATCAAACATCTTCAACAAATATTTAAATATCTCACTGGTCCATGAAGACATGAGTGTGAGAAAAAATAGCTCATAAATATTCAAATTGACCATATTTAATTAAATCAATTCAGATGTTAATGTTTGTTTTATAATCATGCGTCAGAGTTTTGTTAAGGTATTTTAGGAAAAGGACTCCTACCTTAAAGTAGATAAACATGTATTTAAAAGATAATTTAAAAATTGTGAAACAAAATACAAATACTGTACCATATTGCCCACTCTCCCTATTTTTGAGGGAGACTCCCTATTTTGGAGGGAGACTCCCTATTTTTGAGGGAGACTCCCTATTTTGGAGGGAGACTCCCGATGATTTTGGACCCTAATATTGAGCATTTTCAACCAGTGAATTTGCTAAACTAATCATATTTTCTAAGATCTGATGATTTCATTTGAAAGAATAGCTCAAAAGAAGCCATTTAAAAGTGTTAATTTTACCTGGTGGTATTGTCCACATATTTTATTTATATGCTTTTAATTCTAGATCTGGCCATGTGCAATCTCCCCCATGGAAATTTGAAAAAGCTAGGAAGTATGCTGTACAAGTATGCTGTACAAGTATGCTGTACATGTATGCTGTACAAGTATGCTGTACATGTATGCACAATCAATTTTTGCAGTAGTTAAAGAAGGAATTGGTCCCTTTCTTTCTCTTTCCTTTTTATACGCCCGTCGAAGACGGGGACGTATTATGTTATCACGTGAGCGGGCGGGCGGGCGGGCGGGC